TACTTGGAAAAGAACTCGGACTGCCCTGCTGTGAACTCAGCTTCAGCACATCCAAGAGAATGTTCAATCATGGGATCTAGAGATGGGATTTCCTTATTATTGATTGTTGTATTGATTGCTTATTTATTACATTGTAAGCCATCCAGAAACAATTGGTATAGGTTAGGATAAAAATATAAAAGATAAATAAATATATTCCATTGCTGTCCATGTGGGTTGGTCTAAGCTCATATCAGTCACAGCTTCTTGTGCTGTCCAGATGTTTTTTACTTCCACTGCCATGAGGAGAAGTCAATGTGGCCAATGGGCAGGAATTCTCAGAATTCTAGTCCAAAATATCACGAAGTCTCCAGTTTGGGACGGATAAGCCAAAACCATTAGCTAAGGAAAGATTGGCAAACATGTTTTGCACATTTCCTTGTTTTTTAAGAATAATGCATGTTTTTATGACTTAGTAGTAGTTTTGTCAATTCTTGCTAAACAACTCAAATTTACCTTCCACATCATCCAATTACATACAAGAGAAAACCCATTTAAAGACTTTTCTGTTACTATATGACCAGCCCAGTGTAAAGATGAGTGACATCTCTGTGTAGTCCAACAATTGCACCAATACGCCATCAAATACCTGGGAATAGTTGTACTTCTACTGCATGTCCCTGGTGATGAGGAACCCAACAACATACTTGCCATGAACAGTATGGAGTGATTTTAGCCCTTGGGCCTAGAGTTCAGGTTTACCGAGGTTGGAAGTTATTCTACCTGCTGTCTTGGGCTAGAGTTCCTCCCTTCACATATTGAAAGCCACATACCTATCTTGGAAAACATTCGTGATTAACTAAAGCGTTTTCCAGATTCAGAAACACCCAGAATGAATCTCTGAGCATGCACAGAGCTTTTTGTTGATCCCAGTCTAGCATTTACCTCCTGGAACTCTCCTTGCAGTCATACCTGGCCACCATTCCTTTAGAAAGGGTCTTCTGAAAAGGAGCACACCTGTGCTCTGCCCACTGATCCTTTAATTGGGCCACTCTCCTCTGCTAACCTCCCCTCTCCATGTCCCCTCCTGACAAATGTACTTCTCAGTTGTTCACAGAGACTGGCTATGCACCAGGGGAGCCTGGCCTTGGGATATGCATCTCTGCTTCTCTCATCTCAATGTCTGACTTTTAGCTTTGTGTTTGTTTGCTTGCTTGCTTGTTTGGAATCATTCATGCATCCAATGATACTGGAAGCATTTCAGGATAGGGGTGCAAAGGCCCAGCTGCAAATCTGGCCAACCTGAGCTTGCTGGATCACAGGGCTTCACTGTCCTCACAGCAGGGCTGGCCCTAAATATGCTCCAAGAAGCAGGACCGAGAAACAACAATCACAACTTGATGCAGTTCCACTCTGTGGCCCAAGTGAGTGGCTACGGAATGTGGGCTAGGGATTTTGGGAAGTGGGCAAGTAACTTGAAAGAATTTCTCTGGAGTGACTATGCAGCTGAAATTACAAGAAGGGTCCAAGCAGACAAGTCACATGGATAGCAAATCATTGAATCACAGAATCATGGAATCATAGAATAGTAGATTTGGAAGGGGCCACGATGGCCATCAAGTCCAACCCCCTGCTATTGCAGGACACCAAGTTACATCATCCCACTCAGATGGCTGTCCAATTTCTCTTTGAAAGTGAAAATGCAATCTCTCTTCTGCAGGATGAGGACTTCATGTTTCATGCAAAGTTCATTGTGACTAAGAGAGTTCACTCTAAATTATGAGCTTCCAGAACTTGAAAACATACTTCTTCTGTGGTCCAGATTACAACTTGCTTTGCATGTATCTTTCTGTGCATGATTTGCACAATCATTTTGGTGGGTGAGCTGTTTGATCTACTGGTCTAGATAATGTTAATCATTGTATGTTTTTATTTTTGCTGCTGCCATGCTATGAATTTAAAACCCAATACTCTTCTTGGTAAACAAGTACAAATTTTTATCTACCTTAAAGTCAACCTTAAATAGTTTAGCATATTGTTTGGTTCATTTTATTTGGTTTGGCTTGGCTTGGCTCGGTTTACTTTATTTCATGTCATTGTTTATTGTTATTGTTTTCTTTGAACTGTAAGTTTTATATTTTGATTTACTAATACATTTTGAATTGAAGTGAAGTGAATGGTACTGTTTTTAATTATTGTTAATACTGTTATATGCTGTGATCCACCCAGAGAGACTACGGGTGGTGGCAGATAAGTCAAACAAACAAGCAAACAAACACATTCATGAACCAGGCTTGTTATGTAGCTATGCTATTCTCCAAGTCTGGAAAAAGTATAGGAAAAGTCCTGGAGTGGGTTATTGCCGAGCACCTTTCATCCAGCTTCCTGGGGTGACTTTCAGACCCCAGATTCAGTTGTTGCCTATGCAAAAGTAGACAGATAATCTAGTCCTTCCTGAACATTGTCAAATGCATGATAGTAAAATATGCTCCTAAATTTTATCTACCTGCCCTTTAATGTTTGTTTTCCATAACACAAAACACATCTAAGGCATAAAATACTTCCCCTGCATATTTGCATAATAGTCATCGGTAAATGTATTGGAGCAAAGCATAAGGTCAGTTAAAGGTTGTCTTAGTGCATATGTTTAGCACAAATTTGTATAATTGCTCTGAGGTCCAATGGCAATGGCAGGAGTTAATTCATAAGGAAGACAAAAAGTTAAGGAGGCCAGCATTGTGGACAATGCCCTGCTAGGAGTTTTCTCTGAAGGATCTCTCTTTGGAAGGTGATTACAGTGACCCAAGAAATACTGTGCAGAGCTCATTGTTCATATAGTGCCCACTGTTGGGCCTCTGCTCACTGAGGAGGCACTGGCTCTTTCCCAGTTAACTGGCTCTTTTCCAGCACATTTGAATTGGACGGCTCCAAGGCAGTATATACCGCATGGGATTGCTTTTATCTACCAAAGACATGCAGCCACAAAGGAATTTAGCAGAAGATACTCTGACTGTAGTAGTTGTATTTCTGCTGAGGGTGCCAGCCACTCTGGAGTTGCTGGAGTTGAAATCCTCTGGAGTTCAAGCATGATGAAACTGGACAATTAGGCTGAGAAAAGGAACAACTGTGTAACACATTACCTCAGATATAATGCAATGATAGCAAAGCAAACCAGAGCCAAATCTGGCAGCAAAGTGTATTTATTTTTCTTACAAGTGTTCTATACCTGCAATATTTCTCTGTTCAATTCAGCCCAGTGAGTTCACTGGTCCTAACTTAGGGTGGCTGTCTACTGAAAGAAGAAGTGAGCATTGGAGTTGCTTACAATCCTGTGGAGGGTGACCGAAGGGAAAACAAAGATCCAGGGCAATGGTGGGAAACTTCTTTTAGCCTGAGAGTTAATTGAATTTCAGAAACATTCTCAGGGGCCACATCCTGGTCAAAAGGGAAATAAAGTATGGTGGGGACAAAGTCATAAAATGTCAGCCTATTGTAGCCTAAAAGCCCTGAGTGCCAGGAAAGAAACCATGGGGTGGGGGGGCATTTCAGCCATGCAATGTGGAGGAAAAACTACCCCAAAGCTAGGAAATTAGTTGAAGGGGAAAGGGTGGGACCATGGTAAAAGACATGGCCTTCTCTGGAAACCACCATGCTTGATGTTCTCCAACTTTAAGCTAGGATGACATGGATCATATACCAGAGCTAGATTCAATCTTGACATATGGGACTCATCTTCACACAGACTGAAGGCCAGGACCAAGGAACTAAAGTCAAATGCTTTGAAGCTGTCTGCCCTAGGGACAAGCAAAGAGACACATCAATATTTTTTTTCTCCTATAATGTGATGTGATCTCAGCTGCATGCATACATCAATGTTTTTTTCTCCCAGGAAGAAATCACAGCATAAGGAACCCCTGGGGTTTCCACCCACCAAGTCATGAACAAAGAAATCCAGGTTAAAACATGCTGGAGATTCACAAACTCTTGAAAGCTTTGAAGTGGGTCTGGTACAAGCAACAGCCTTTTGCCACCTGCACAGCATCCATCACGCCCATCTTTCATTCTGGCTGGGAACTTTGCAGGTTTATGCACTTCAGATCAGTGCAAAATTTAGCTAATGAGAAGACCTCTGGAGGCTGCTGATGGTTTGGCTGCTATTGCTACTTTGGCTCCTGCCTCAGGCTGCTGACAGGGTCCTGAGGACCACATGCCTCCTGACCAGACCTTTCCCGCTCTGGAAGGATTATTACCAACCAGGGGATCTCCTTGTTGGTGGGAATCTACCCCTTGTTAGTGCTGTACCTTTAACCGAAGGTCTTAAAAAGCCTCCTCAAAACTTTGGTCACTCCTACACTAAGTAAGTTTCTAAGGAAGGGTCTCAGAGTAGAAACAGGGGTGCTCCAGTTTTACTCAGAAGTGCTGTTCCTTCATGTTTGCATCCCTGCTAATGCTGCATATGGCAGCTTCCCAGGTCAGAATCAACAGCCTCAAACATTACAGCATTTCCTTTGCCTTGAAATCTACCACATCGGCAAATGCTTCTCCATCCCCTGCAAAATTAGTCCCCTTTTTTCCAAAGTGTAGCAACACTGTCTGTGTGGAAGTCCAGACAACAGCTAGATTTCCTTCCAGTGTAAACCCCTGGTGTTCTCTCTGAGCAGGCAGAATTGACACAACCCTTTTTCAGACCTGTCAAGCATTCAGGGATTGTGTTGAGACTTTGGGCAAACCACATCCAACATTATCTCTCTCACTGCAGAAATTTACAAGTTATGAAGAATTACCAACATTTTCTGGCCTTGGCATTTGCCATCGGTGAGTTGAATGAGGATGCAGCACTCCTCCCCAATCTCACACTGGGCTTCTGTATCTATGACAACAATGAGAATGCAAGGAGGACCTTCCAAGCCAGCTTGTCCCTGCTCTCATCTTGAGGGCAGGTGGTCCCCAACTATAACTGTGGTGGGCAGGGGATGCTGCTCTCTGTCCTCGGAGGTCTCAGTGTCAGATCCTCAAGAGAGATGTCTCCCAACTGGGACCTCTACAAGATCCCCCAAGTAAGCAGATTAAGTTAGGGAGATGTGGGAGAGGCAAGACAGTTGCAGAAGGAGGCAGAGGCTTTACCAAGGCATTGCTGTGCTGTGAGGGATGAGCAACTTCACCAAATTCAGCACAAATTCTCTGTGTGGCTGATTCCCTTAATGACTTCGGACCATTAGTTTTGAAGGCTCTCACCTGGTTTGAACATGAGGGCTTCCTTGAGGAAGTCCTTGACTTGGCTACTCATGTGACAATTTTGGCCGTGATCACCACTTGAACTGGTTAAACACTGAGAACTATGAGAAAAACCATGCTGCATCCATCCATCATTCTCTTCACAGTGCCTGGCTGGTCAGCTCCGTGTGGGGAAAGAAAAGTGCAGTGTTGATGGAACAGTTGTGTCCTGTTTGTGTAGCTGGGAAGCAGATGTACATTGGGGTACTGCCTCTGATGACACTGGGAGCATAACTAAGACCCCCTGTTAGCCTGATGTTCCAATAATCAAGTGCAGCCAGCCAAATGCCCAGAATCCAGCCCTGGACCATGTTTTCCATGTTTTCCAATTTCTTTCCAAGAACCTCTCTCTGCAGCAAAATGGAGGCAAACCAGAATGTGCTCAAGACCTTTTTCCATCAACACCATTTGAGCTGGGGATGTTGGGACTTGTATTCCAAGTCATCTAAATGGCACTATGTTGGGGTGGACCACATTGCAGGGCTGCATGAATGCAGAAGAGAAAGACTTCTTTTAAAATCCCTGTCTTCCTACGGCTTGGTTATGGCCCACTCCATCCTTTTCTGACTGAGGAAAAGACAATTCCTTCCTTCTACCGCATTGACGTCTCTCAATGCCATGGCTTGGTCCAGCTGCTCCTGCATTTCCACTGGAACTGGACTGGGCTCTTCACTCAGGATGATGACTTGGGAGAAAATTTCATCCAGGCACTGAGTCCAATCCTTGCCCAAAATGACATCTGTGTAGAGTTAATTGAAAGGATCATACAGGAGAGCTTATTCAAGGATGTTCTACTTGTCTTTGCTCAAAAAAAGTTTAACAACTTTAAAATTAGGCTTTTGCATTGGAAGGCCGAAGTGGCCATTGTCTCTGGAAACTCAATAATTATAAAATGACTTACAGGACCATTTTATTCCAATGAAAAACACAGCAGCAGCTCCTTAGGGACAGTCTGGGTGCTGACTTCCCAGTGGGAATTTTCCACCTGGGTCTTGCCTGGAAATTGGGGGGATCTGAAATACTTCCATGGTGCTCTGTCCTTCAGAGTCCACACAGGTGATGTGCCAGGCTTTGAAGACTTCCTCCAAAATTTGGATCCATATCAACCCCAGGGAGATATCTTCCTCCAGGACTGGTGGGAACTTGTATTTTTCTGTCAGTTTCTGAAATCAGAAGAGACAGCTAAATTCCCAAGAAGAAACTGTACAGGGGAGGAGAAGATAGAAGATCTGCCAGACTTGGTGTTTGGACACAGGATGACCAGTCATAGCTACAGGGTGTACAACGCTGTCTATGCCGTGGCCCATGCATTACATGCCATGTCCACCTCTGCATCCAAACATGGGGTGGCAGGTGCTGATGAGAGGCTTCTGAATGTCCAGCCATGGCAGGTAACTTCCCTCCCTCAGTTTTGTTTCTCTCACAATAAGGAAAGATGGAACAGGTAGTGCAGTTCCCAGTGGCTTGTGAAGGGGCCTCTGGGATGTCCTCTTGGTCATCTGTACATATGCCAAGAGATGCATCCCACCTTCTTTCTTCTTCACTGTGAAGAAGCAACTGGCCAAACCACACCAGAACAAGCCAGTACAAGTGAAGATACTGAGCCTCTGTTGTAGCCCCTTTGAATCTTTGCTACCCAACCAGGCCAAATTTTTAAGCTCTCCAAGTACTTACTGGCACTGCAGAAAGGGCATCTCCAGAATTCACCTCTCTCAATGTGTGTTCCAGAACACCAGTTGCTTCCCATTCTTGAATGGACAGACTACTACATAGGTGTCTCTTTCACTGCAGGTCCTTGGCCCCTTGAGAGGCATCTGGTTCAACAACAGTGCTGGAGAGGAGGTCTCTTTGACCAAAGATAGCAAAAGACCAGGTAGCTATGAGATTGTTAACTGGGTCTTCTTCCCCAACGAGACTTCATCTTCAGTGAAGGTTGGATGGTCAGATGCTGGGGCTTCTCTAGGACAAGACTTCATGCTGAACACCAATGCCATTGTGTGGGCTACCAAGGTGGGGAATGAGCAAATGTTCAAGGAGTTGCAGGAGAATTAGAGAAATCATGAAGTGTTCTTGTTTTGCAACCAAACTATCCCTGCTGCAGAGAAAGAGATTGTGCTTTAGGGCAGAGGAAAAGGGTTCCAGAGGGAAAACCAGTTTGGTGCTATGAATGTGTCCATTGTCCAGAAGGGACTTTTTCCAATCAGACAGGTATCTTAATGTTTACCAACTGATTTTGCTTTCAGAACTTGCTGAGAGGGAGAAGAGCACCAGGGGTAGAGCATGGACAAAAAGAAATGTCCAGGATTCATTTTTAATATGGATAGGGGTTTAATTGTGGCTTTCCTAGCACTATGAATGTATAGTGAAACAACAATTAATAAGAAATGGAAGCAAACCAATAATAATCACCTTTATGGGGCTTGCTCGTCTATTGAGCTCATCTGTAGTTCTGCTTGTATGGAAGACCATGCAAAGAACCCTTTCCTCTCCATGTATCATGATTTGTTGTTGTATTTGTCTGTCTGTGTTTCATGCATAGATCCCATCTTTCTCCCAAGGGAGCCCTGATGGCAAGTCCAGCCTTCCTCCTCTCCAGTTCATCCTCATATCAGCCTGTGAGGTTATAAGACTAGGAGCCAATGACTGGTCTGATGTCAGTGTGGAACTTCATGGCAGAGAGGGGACTAGAGCCCACATCTTCCCAGTCCCAGTCCAACACTGTAACCACCAGTGTCATTCTATGAAAATGCTCTCTCTGACAATGGTAGACTCAAAGAATGGACACAGGTTCTCTTCCAAGCTCCCAGGATCATGATAGGCCAAATCAAATCCATATAGATCAGGTCAGGTGCATCAAGTTTCTATCCCTGTAAACAGAGGCCAGTGACTTGATCACAGCTTTTAGAGGACTTTTGCCCTATTCCAGGGCCACTGCTCTGAAAGAAATACCCTGAATTGTGCTGGTCCATGCCTTGAGAAATCACAGGCAACCAGCTCATAAATGTTCATTCAGTCCTGAAGTGGTGTACATGTGTGTGTGTAAATGTGTACATGCATGCATATTGTCATTGTGCTCATTGCATAATTATGGCAGCTCAGTTTTGTTGCTGAAAATATAATTCATACTGCAACACTTAAGCAATATATTGCCAGTGCACATAATTACCTATAAGACAATCCAAAGGAATTCAAAGTTATGCACTCCATTTTCAATAAGAGAAAGATGTTTGCATGGGTTTTAGCAAAATTTCATTCCTTCTTGATCGCAAAAACAGCAAATTGAAGAGTGCAACTGTATACAGATCTACTTAGGAGTATATCTGATCACTTTAAGTTAAATGAGTTTGTCTTTCCCTTTCAAAATGGTGGAAAGATTTCAAAACAAGCATAATCTGTTGAAATCATTAAGGGAAGAGGCAAACAAAGAGGAGGCATCTGTGATTTAGAAAACCCCTTAGAAATTGAAGTAGAATTCAGAGAAAGCTGAAGAACAGTTGGCAAGGAGCATCAGAAATTAGTTGTGTGAGCTGAAATCATAGAAACATAGAAACAGAACGAGTCAGAAGGGGCCTCCCAGGCCATCTAGGTCCTTGGTCAGTACATGATGGGTCACCTGCTCCTCTTTTGAGACACCCCAATGACTGTTGCTCATTCCAGATGCAGCTCACTGTGTTCAGTGCCCAGAAGAACAACATCCAAATGTGAAGCAGGATCAGTGCATCCCCAAGAAGATCCACTTCCTTTCCTACAAAGAGACACTGGGGATCACTTTAGCTTCTCCTGGGCTTTCCTTGTCGCTAATCACACTCCTGGTTCTTTCGACCATCATTAACTATCAGGAGACACCAATTGTCAGAGCCAACCATCGCAGTCTCACCTACATCCTCCTTAGTTCCCTCCTCCTTTGCTTCCTCTGCCCCTTCCTCTTCATTGGCAGGCCTATGAGGTTCACCTGTCTTCTCCAACAGGTGTCTTTTGGTGTGATCTTTTCTGTTGCTATTGCCACCATTTTGGCAAAGACAGTCACAGTGGTGCTGGCCTTCATGGCCACCAAGCCTGACAATATTGCAAGGAAGCTCTTGGGGAGACCTCTGACAACCTCGATTGTCTTTTGCTGTCCCCTCCTCCAGGCTGTGATTTGTGCTGTCTGGCTGCTGACCTCTCCCCCATTCCCAAACTCAGATTTCCACTCCTTGACTGGGGAAATCATTGTGCAATGCCATGAAGGCTCCTCTGTGATGTTTTACTGTGTCCTGGGTTACCTGGGCTCCCTGTCCCTCATCAGCTTCACGGTGGCTTTCCTAGCAAGGAAGTTACCTGGCAGCTTCAACAAAGCCAAGTTCATCACCTTCGGGATGCTGATGTTTTACAGTGTGTGGGTCTCCTTTGTGCCCACCTACCTGAGCACCAAGGGGAAGACCATGGTGGCTGTGGAGATCTTCTCCATCCTGGCCTCTGGGGCTGGCCTCCTGGGTTGCATCTTTCTCCCCAAATGCTACATTATTTTGCTGAGGCCCAATCTGAACACCAGGGATCATCTTGTAAGGAAAAGGTAATTAAGAACCTTAGCATTCTATTGTGGAAGTGGGAAAAGTTCTACCTCCAGATGCTTTGGATGTCAACTATAGAGTATCTATCCACACTGCCAAGAGTCAGAACTGCTGGGAGCTTCAGTTCAAAACATCTGGAGATCCTGTTTCTGTCTCCCTCTGCATGTGAATATTCCCTGAGGTATCATTGAAGGGTTTCCAGTGCAAATGCTAATGTTACTTATTACTCTGCTTTTATTTCTGCAGTTTTGTTATATTTCATATTTACCGGTCTTGTATTTCCAAATGGTTCCACATTTAGTTTAATGCATCTTGGAGTTATCACTACTAGAAAGCCATGCATACATGACTAAAAACATGGGTATTTCCATTTAACAGAGTTTACAGTTTCAAGATTTCCTGAATATCTCTTGCTTACCTCTTCTTCAAAAAGAGGCATCCCCATTTTTAAATATTAAGCAACTTGAGTTGAGTCCTGCAGGCAGCAAATTCTGGAGTTGAAGATCAGTTGCCACCAAAGCTGCCTTTGAGGCCTGTTCACCACACTGCCCTATGGGTATTGTAGTCGAACACATGTGGAGGGCACCTGCCTGCAGAAGGCTGACCCTCAAAACTGGTCATGCCCTTCCTGTCATAAGCTGGGGTTCCTCCTCTCACTTATGCAAAGCCTCAGACCTTCTTGTAAACTGTTCTTTATAGACCAAAGCCTTTTCCAAAAGCACAATCACCCAGAATGCATCTCTGAGCATGCACAGAGCAGTTCATTGAATTTCAGCTAGTATTCACCTCCAGGAACTCTCCTTATGAGTATGTGGGCACCATCTGTTAAGGAGGTGCCTTTTAGAATTGACCATGCCTCCTCTTTGCACAAAAACCCTCTAATTAGGCCACTCCCCTCTGCTGTTGTCACACCATGCAAGGATTGCCATTTTATTTGTCGTATTACTTTCCTACCTTTGTTTCCTCTTCCAAGGAAACCAGGGCAGCTTGCAAGGTTCTCCAACTCTCCTTTTTGTCTCACAACCACCATGTGATGAAGGTCAGTCTGAGAGGGAGTGGCTGTGCTCAAGTCACCCAGGGAGCTTCATGGCTGAGAGAGGGCTAGTCCCTGGACCTCCTAGGACCCCAGTGCAATAGTTCCAACACCTCATCTTGTCAGCTTTCTATACTTCTGTACTCATTTTTAACACATTCAAATGGATACATAATGTTTATACACCAGTACAAATAGTACGAGGGACGTTCAATGTATTCTCGGTATCAACATGAAGAAAAAGGAATAATAAATTGAAATAATTTTTATTTTTCAATGTAATCCCCCATAACTTCAATGCACTTACTACATCTAGAAATTAACTTTTCAATTCCCTGTAAAAAAAATACCCTTCCTCCTTGTCCAAAAAGTGTGCATTAATGGCCTCCTTGAGCTCTTCATCATTGGAAAATAGCTTTCCATGAAGATCTTTTTTTAAGTAGTAGTCATTGGGGGCCCGGTTTGGGCTATAGGGTGGGTGGTTTATTTCTTTGAAATCACAGTCTCTTACAGCAGCCTTCGAAACACACGCCGTGTGAATGGGTGCATTGTCATGAAGAAGCAACACACCTGCGGTCAGTTTTCCCCACCATTTTCCTTTAATTGCTTCTCTTAAATTATGCAGAGTGGTTGCGTAAGATGCTGCATTTATGGTTTCACCTTTTTTCATGTACTCGATCAATAAAATTCCCTTTGAGTCCCAAAACACTGTGGTCATGATTTTTCCAGCCAATGGAGTGACTTTGAATTTCTTTGGAGGGTCAGCACTTTTTTCATGCCACTGCATGGACTCCTGCTTGCTTTTAGGGTCATAGTGATGAACCCAAGTTTCATCTCCAGTAACAATCTGGTTGAAAATACTCGATGGATCTTCACCACAGAGCTCTAAAAACTCCCTACAGCACTCGACTCACACTTGTTTCTGAGGCACCATGAGCATTCACGGCACCCATCTTGCACAGACCTTTGAAAGATTAAGATGGTCATGAAAAATAGTAAATATGGTACCAACGGATAGGTTTGTCATCTCTGCTAACATTTCCATTTTTATTCGGGCATCTTCCAATACAAGTTTCTCATTTTTTTTCACATTTTCTTTTGTAGTGGCAGTAACTGGCCTGCCTGAGTGAGGGTCATCTTCAATGCTTTCTCTGCCTTTTTTAAATTCACTTGACCACTTTTGAACAGTAGATAATGAAGGTGCAGAGTCCTGGTAAAGGGCCACCATCTCTTTGTGAATGATGTTTTGACTTTTTCCTTGTTTTGTAAGGAACTTAATCACAGTGTGGTGCTCGATTTTCTTCAACATTGTCGCATCAGTCATCATGGTCGTCTTTCACTGAGGATTACTAGGGAACTAATGATTACACTTATTTGAAATTTTGCATGTATACCCTCAGATAGTGACATTAGCTAATGAAATAATTAAATTACCCACATCAATAGCAAATCAACCTGATACTGAGAATACATAGACCACCCCTCATACATTCTCTAAAACTAAGAAAAGAGCAGCAGTAAAACAAGATGAAACTCACAGGAGATAAGGGGAGCCTCTATGAACAAGCATCTTTTCAAGAGATGATCGAAGCTGAACACAGGTTCTTCCTCTTGAACCATATGTAGGACAGTTTCAGGGGGTGGGTGCCACTACCAAAAAGATCTGCTTACAAGCTGTTACCTGGCTATTTTAACATACTATAGCTTTCCAAAGATGCTATGATTTTATTAATTCTGTCCTTTTGGACATACTTGGGCTAAACTGTATACTTATTAACCTTTGGTGGTATTTACCTCTTTTGTGACTGTGGCATTACTAGATGTCCATTGTACTCATAAAATAATAAAGAAGCAAATGCTGTATTGTTCTGCTTCCATCTCCTCATCTTTATACCTGGTCCTGAATAGGAGCCTTCCATCCCTATACAATTCTGTTTAAAAGATGCATTTGGTCTATTTTATTGGCAAGTCCAATTAATTCTTTTGGGATCATGTCCCTTGTTACTTCTCTATTTTAGTACTAAACCCCCCCCCCATCCTGATTCATCACAATATTCATTTTCATTCCAACATGTTGTAAAGGAATAAATATACTGGCTTAGAACATCTAGCATTCTATTTGAACCTATTTGGAAACTAACACTTACACCATTATGCCAAAGCATACAACTAATATTCTGAGATAACGAGTTTTCCTTTGGGCTTTGTTGTCTCCCAAGTCAAATGTCATCAGTATTGATGCAGGAAATGTAACCAGTCTATAGTCAAGGCCAGCCCTGGATTGTCTGAAAGGATGTGCTGACTGAAACTGGAGAAAGAAAATAGGGATTCCCTTCCTGCTTTGTGGAACACCAGGATCCCCTTTTTGTTGAATGAGAGTGACAGAATGTGGACCTAGACAGAGCTTTGCTCTGATTGCACATGTACTTCTTATGTTGTTAGGACAGTGGGGAGGACTTCAGCAGGGACAACTGCCTTACCAATGGAAAGGTAGCAACTAGAACAGATAGGTATACAGAGAGATTCACCAGCCTCATGCTTCAATGGGATTGCAAGCATGGGTGGAATGAGAGAAGCATCTTGCAGGGAATTGAAGGACCAGGAACATGTGTGCACATATCCATCTGTTCTTTGCACAAAGAAATGTAGGGATCCTCATGCCTCTCTTGGCGTGCAGGGTGGGAGAGGAGTGCAAACAGTTTCCTTGATATCTTGGGAAAGAGGGGATTTGGCAGGATCCTCCTACCCTGAAAATGGGTTTCTGACTTGTCCCCAAGTGGGTGAAAGAGCTAAGCAAGGCTTTAAGTATGAGAGTATTTTTAAAGTCATTTTTGTGTGTGCACATACACTGTGGGGTGGAAATTTTACTTAAAAACAAACAAAGCCACAAGTCATGGTGTACCCTGTGGCAGCCCCTCCAGGTTGCCAGTGTGGGACTTTGAAGGGGGAGCTGGTGGCTGCACTTATGGGAAAGTGGGTGTCAGGGAATCTTGGATTAGCAGAATGGGAGAATGTATGCTCAGATCCACAAGGAAGACACCATGCTCAAACTGCAGCAGTTTATTGCAAGGTCACCCAGGCACCTCTCTGAAAGAGATAAAATACAACAATGCTGCCCAATAGCCAGAATACCTAACTGACTGCAAACTTCCAGAGCACAGAAACAGATTTTATAAGTTGTGGTGATGCACACAGTTTCTAGGCAGTGATGAAATTTTGAACTGATGAGAAGGCAAGGGAATAATACAGAAGTGTGTGGAACTTTAGGAAGGGCGTGGAACTGTATTTTCTTTTCCCAGAGAAGGAACTAGGAAAGAAAATCTTTCGGATGGGGAGGGGGAGTGAGGGCACTGCTGCCAGATTTCATATTAAAGGACATGCAAAAGCATATAATTTCATTTTAGGGTTTGTTTGGACTTTCCCAACAGTTGCTATGTGAGGAGGATGCTGGACTGGTGGTTGTCTTGGTCTGAGCCAGAGGCTTTTCTTCTGTCTGGAATTAACTCCTCTCCATCACCTGAGAATGTCCAAGTGAAAGAGCCTGGGGGATAAAAGAGAACCCCTGGTGCTCCATGGCATAAGTGCCAGGAGCTGGGACAATAATCCCCCTTGGTCTCCTGGGATGGAAGAGTGGCCAAGCAGACAGGAATGGAAGCACCACGATGCTGAACCACCAGTCCCAGCTGACAAAGCCTATCCAAAATGATACTATGAGTGATGGGATCTTAAGCCGCTCAGTAGTCAAAGGCAATCAGCCGATCTCACTTCATAGAGTTGACTCAGTCTTCATTTGGAAATGAAACCTGAAGAGTGATTAAAGTGGATCAAGATACTCTGTTTGGTTCAGGTGTGCCTAGGAGTGCTGTGCCCAGGAGAGGCAAAGAAAAGGAGCAAGACCAAAGAGGAGATGGAGGGCCTCCAATCAAGGAAGGTGAGGTCTTGAGGTTTTGAGTTGAGAACAGGAAAAGG